GGAACCCTTAATAAGGTTACAACTTCAATTACTTAATTATCATTCAATTGTTTTCAATTATTACAACATTATTATGTTTATAATAATCTTCCTTTTAATAAAAATTATTCATTTAATTAATTCTTCAGATACCCAAAATCTTTACCATTTCAGCAAGATAAAAAAAAAGGAAAAAATTCCCATCTTCCATAAAGTTAACAAGTAAATTCTGTCATTTCATCAAACTGCACCTATGAGAAATCATTTTGATCCCTTAATAAGGTTTACAACTTCAATTACTTAGTTATCATTCAATTGTTTATCAAATATAACATTAACAATAAGTCCACCTCCTTCAACCATTGTTAAATCAAAAAAAAAAAAAAGGAACCTTTAGAACCTTAATTCCCATCCATTCATAGTTAAGTCAAACAAATTCAATTATTACAACATTATCATATTTATAATAGTCTTCCTTCGTCATTAAATCAGAAAAAAACCTTTAAGACATTTTTAACCCATCAGATAACATTTAATGTCATATTTATATCTGACTCTGGCTTTCTTTCTATACCAAGTTAATATTAAAGCGTTTCGATTATCAAACCTCAAAATTTGGTTACAAAACTTAATCACTTCAAACTGAGCAAAATTTGCTCCCCTTTCTGCCAATATAATCTGGATATCAATCTTTGTTGTTTTTAGCAGTTGAAATGAGTCCAAGTAGCTTTGTATAAAATTAGTTTGCCTAATAGTTTCCACATTTAGTCCCAGTATAAATTCACAATTAAGTTGCTCTGACTCTTCAAGTTGTATATCTTGATATGTAAAAGCCTGTTCAGGGTTACTCAGTCTCTCTTCTATAATTCCTTGTTCCACAATTTTATTCGTTTTTAAAAAGTTAGTGTAAGGTTCTAATATGGCCTCTTCAGGGTGTGGATAACTTTCATCAGCTACCACCGGATCCACTTGTTCAACCAGATCTTGAGAAGCAATTATAGCATTCAAACAAAAATCCTCCTGTTTCTGTGGTAAATCTTGCCGTTGTAATAAATCCTGTTGTTGTTGCATCACTTGATCACATCTATTTTGAAATTTAACATC